TTGTGGATTTTCTATACTAGTAGTTTCTAGTATAGATACTCTATTATTAAGAGCTTGTAATTCTTCTTTTAAGTTTCTTATTTCAAACCTCAGTTCAGAAATAGTAGTCTCATTCTTAGAGAATACTTGTTTTTTATTAACTCTGTCAATTATTTGTTTGAGATCATAAGTAGGTTTAAAAACTTGACTTTCAGTCTTTTCTTTAGCAAGGTATTTAAAGAGGCATCCCTTTTTTCAAGAGGGTCAATAATTTTATCAATTATATCTAGAACCAAATTTTGTTTTTCAGAAAGCACATTAAGACTAAGACCTTGCATATTTAGCAAGGCTTCATAATGATCACACTTACAGTCCTCTTCAGTCTCACTGGTATCCGAAGTGTTGATGTCCAAACCTTCATCTTCTGAGCCTGTCTCATAAATAGATAAGTCCTCATCAGAGGAGTCTCCTATAAGGAGGATTTGCTCTAATTATTTTCTAATCCTTCATCAGAAATTTCATTAATTTTTTGTTTTGTTCTACATCTATTTGCATAATGCCCATAACGGCCACACTTTCTACAAATAGGTATTTTTCTTTTTGGTTTCCTATTCTTGGGTTCAGGATCTTCCTTTATTGAATTGAATGTTTTCCTTTTTTGTTTTCTATGATATTTTCTGTTTTTCTTATACTCATCTCTTTTAGAGTTATTTTTATATTTTTTGGAGTGAGTTTTTTCAGGAAAGGGATAATAACCAAATTGTTCACAAAAGTCTCCCATTTCTCTTTTACCCGTGATCTTTTGTTTTTCAAGCTATCTTTTAAGCCTGAGGTCAGTACAAAGTTCCAAACCAGTAGCACAAATCTCATTATCAAGTTGGCCAAGAGTATAATTCTCATAGGGGATTTCTTTTCCTCTATTAGAATTTTTTAGCTTGGTCTTAACCTTTTCTCTAAATAGAGCTGGGAATCCATTCAAGAATTTAGACTTCCAAATGTATATGTCTGGCATCATTTCTTGTAAGTAATTGGGTATGAAAAACATCTTTGTACCATCTGTAATGAGAAAGGTCAGAACATTTGAGATTCTCCAAAAGTTCTTTGGTTCTTTCATTCCAAACAGAGATATCTCTTATGAAGTGTAGGGCAATAGTATAGATTAGTGTATTGACACAATCATCGTCCTGAGAAGGTATTTCTTGTTTGACACCTTGATTATAGACAGTGGTAAGGGTCTGTCTTTTAGCATTCAGAACTGTATTTCTCTCATCATCCCTTAAGTAGAAGTCCCACCATCGTTTTAGTTGCCCCGTAAATCCATTGATTATGGATCCTAGCAATGTCGGGGTCCGTATTTATATGGTTAGCGGATGCTTGAGCATACATGATCATATGCTTGATTAAATTCATCTTCTGATATCCTGATAAATCATCAATATTCCATTCAACTATAGATCTTCCATCATATTGGACAGCATTTGAAAATATATCCTCTTCATATTGAAGATGGACAGGAGAAGGCCTAGGGTAATACATTTTTGAAGTAGCAGTAGGCCTGGTCTTTGTTCCATAGTTTATCCTATTAATCTGGTCAGGTTTTTCAGGGTTTCTAAACATATCCTCAAGTTTAAGGATTTCTTCATTGCTAATATCTTCAAGCATGTTTGTAGCTGGACTTTTATCTTCATTTTTGTTACCTTTTTTATCACTTATTTTAAGAGTAGCAAGGCTGTTAACTAATTCATCAAAGAATTCATTCTCTTATTTGAGAGTTGATACAAGTTTAAAAGTTTTATTTGAAAGAAGAATAACAGGTTTGAATAGGATAGGTTTAAGTTTCTCCTTTTCTTCAGGAGGTTGGATTTGTGTTGAAGTAGGGGGCATATTATTAAGGCTTTCTTCTATTCTTGTAGTTTGTTGACCTATACTTTGTAAGAATAGGTTAATGTAATTATTCTGTTCAATCAGATGATTAAGTCTTTCTAAATTTGTTGGTCTTTGTAACATCGCGTTATCTTTAGGGGTATAGGTTTGCTTATAAGGAACAACCCTAGATTTAGGTAATCAACGGCTGCTTCAGGGGGATGGATACTTTCTTGATCTCCATTTGGAGTTCTGTAAGTTTTATATAATTTTGTAATGATGGTAATAGTTGCATGATTCCTATTTTTAGGAGTATACAAGTTATTAGGAAATTTTTTACCTTTCGAGTCCATATAATATTTCAACTAAGTAAAGAACCTTATATTAATTTTGTTTTTATCATAGTTCTGATATATTTGTCATCAAGGAATTTCTTAAGGGGTTTGCTATGTTTAAGAAACCATTATCTTATTTCTTTATTTTCTTCAGAGTAAAAATTTTGCCTTAAGAGTTTGTAGTTGATTTTGAATTTTTCAACTTCAAGCATATTAACAGACCCTTCAGGGATATTGGAACTATATCCCATGTCAGAAAAAGTTGGTCTTGGGAGACATCATAATCTTGATTGTATTGAAGGGTTTTCTACCTTATAAGTAGGTTGGACAATTTGTTGGTTTTTAAGCTGATCAAGCTCTTCTATGACTACATCTTTACTATTTTTCCTGATAATAGTTTTTCTTTGGGTTCTTTTTTTGATAAATTTGTATGAGGCTGTACCTGTTGGTTGGTTAAGTCCAGATTTATTTGTATTAGTCATTCAAGATGGGGGAATTTTCATCATCTTTAGTAGCAGTATAAGACCATCTGAGGATCCAAAGGATCTCATATAAGATGGTAAATCGAACTAGGGTATCCATTTTAGACCAGTTTCTGTTTGTTGCTTCAAATTTTGACAGCAAGCCTCGTAATTGTTTGGGATAAATGTCTGGGTCAAATCCCCAGTATAATATCCATTTTTTAAACCATGTAGGTAGTTCATTTATGGCTTCATTAAGCCTGAAACAGATAAACCAACTGTGAGTATTTTGTTTGTTTTGGACTATCAGAATCTTTTCCCAGGCTTCGATATAGTTATAATAATTATAGCTCTTGATTTTAGAGCAAGTATTTCTAAAATACCTTGGCTTAATAGGATAGAATCCCCAATCTTTATAGGCCAATATTCTTTTTATTAGGATTTCCGAGTAGGCCACAATGTCATGCCCTCTATATTTTCGGAAGACTTCTATTGATCCTGTTTCTTTAAGGAATGTTTCATAGAACATTTGAGACTTAAATTCATCTTTAGGATGCATACGATTTATTAAGTAGATTTTTGCAATCTCATCTGGATCAAGATGATATGAATATTATTTATTGGTAAGATGGGAAGATAAGATTTTTCCCTGTATTCCGATGACTGAATTAAGTCTTTACTTATATTTGGGCTATTTTCTTCGTAAGCGGCTTGTCTTGAGGTTTTACCGCTAGATTTCAATTGTGTTTTTCCCCTAGATTCCTTGCAAAAACTCTCATGTTAAGAAATCTGGTAAAGACTTTGTACTACCTGAGATATGTTCAATGTTAAAGTCAAATATTGCTAGGATAGCTTGCCATTTGGCAAATATTTGTTTTGAGACAAATATTTTAGCATCTTTTTCTATTATCAGATGGTAAATATATCTGTGAGACCATAGTTTTTTTTGGTGGGAACAAAATATATGCTTAGGTCTCCTATTTCTTAGTGCATAGGCCGGCGGACTATAAATACATGAGACGACCAAATCTCAGATGGAATCTCTTGGACATGTACACCCCAAAGAGAACTCCCCTCATTTCATTGAAATATCGCCAAAATTTTTGGTTGCCACCCTCTTAACATTTTCGATCTCCAAAGCTTAATCACATACTATTGTCCTTCACATCAGCATTGCACATGTATCCCATCACATAAAATAAACCTTAATAATGTGCAATTAAAAAAAAAAAAATTTGTCTATGAGTTCAGTTACTACATTAAATATATCATATATAAATTATTGTGGAATATTTTTATCAGACATATATCTATGAGACCACCAAAATTGCCTTTTTCAGTAAAGTCTCCAATGGTTTTCTTTGGTACGTACAATTTAACATACGCCAGCAGTTAAAACTCAGATGGAATCTCTATTCACGTGCTCCCTCAAGACAAAGAGCTTTACATATAGAAGATAGTGAAATGTAAAGGGTACTGTTTATTTTTTTTGAGATTATATACTATAAGGTCATTTATATGAATGATATTATGAAACCCTCCTACACTTATATGAGTAGGACCTCAAAAGATCATCACTAGATTTTGACACACATATCTAAAAAGTTATCACATGGGTATGAGACTTGATTGTGATAACTTTTCTAAAGATTTGTATCAAAATTTAATGATGATCATTTGGGTTCCTCTTCACATGGGTGAGAGAGGGTCTCATAATGTTATTACTTCATTTAAATTTAATATAAAAAAATCACAATTAATTTTAACCATTAGATATCTAATTGAATGGTTTGGGATGCGTCACGAAATATAAATTTTTTTTTATTGGGCTTTGAGTTTAGTCATAGGTACATTTATAGCCATTTGATTTGAAATTGATTTGAAATTTGATATGGATAAGTGTTTTTTGGTTGATCATGAGAAAATAAAGAAGTGTACCTTGCATTTCATTAGATGGCCAGAGAAAGGTTTTTACGATATTGGATGGCTCTCAAAGGGTAATCATTTCGCGATCGAGGTCGACCGAGAAAAAAAGGGCAAAATGGTAACAAGTCTTGGAGTGGCGGGATCCAAACAGTTATGAAATAGGGTTGAATTGACGCAATGGGGTGACACGTCAGCCACACGACGACGAGATTAGCTGGCGCTCGCAAAGGAGAGGAGGGACTCGTAGACGGCGCCACAGAGGGACACGTGTACGGTAAAGGTGACGCGGAATAAACTAATGGCCCCTCCACGATTATCGAGGCTCCAGCTCCGCCACCCACATTGCCTCGACGCCGTATATGCACCGTATACATACGGACACGTGTCTGACGACGTGGCCGCTGCATCGGCTTCTCCCTTTCGTTTCCATCTCCCTTTTTAAATTTTGATTTTAATTTCATCGCTCTGTGAAAAACTCCATCTTGTTTTCTTTTCTTTTTCCTGCGTAAGAACAGAGAATGGCGAGGAGGAAGAGTTATGGTTTCTATAGTACACTGGCTTTGTGAATAAGGTTGTAGATCAGGATTTTTCCGGCTTGTTTTCCGCCACCAGGAGGCATTTTTCCGGGCCATTTTCGGGTTATTCCATTTGGAAAGGTGCACATTAGGGTTTGGTGATTGTTACGTTTGATTTTATGGTTCTTGAATATATTCTGCAGGCTTTTAAGTGTGCATTTCTTTTATTTTTTTATTTTTAAGTGAATTTTGTTAGACTGATGGTACTTGAAGTTTTGTGGGGAGGGGGTTATCAATGGAGTGTGTGTGAATGTTTAGATGGGTTTGTTGTAATATAAATGTTTAAAAATTGTTTATTTTCCTGTTTTAATTTCAATTAATATAAGTTGAATTTCAAGTGTGTATTGTTGATAATTTTGTCTTCTTAGTCTTCTATGGAGTTTGAGAATTAAATTTTAAAAGATGGTGGCAACTGGCAAGGAATGGTAGAGAGAATTATGGAGGCAAAATTAGATTACTACATGAATAGAAATATGAAGATACAGGCAGGGAAATTAAATATAGAAAACACGAAAAGAGACTAGGGGATGATAGAGAATTAGAGCAGAAGAAAAAAAGAGAAGAGGAAACGGGATTTTGTTTATATTTTTCCCCTAACATTTTTACTTTGAAAAACAAAAGAAAATCTGCATACCGATGTGAACAGAACGAGCAAAAACAAGGAGAAGAAGGCCATGTCACAAAACCAAATCAAAGGAAAATTTGGTAAATTTTCTGAGGACAATTAGATAAAATGGAGTTGATAAATACAAACAAAAACAGTACAACCTTTAACAAATATTATTCTTTAAGGGACTGATATAAAAAATAAGGAGAAAACAGAAAGATATGTCCTTTTTTATTTCTCTCAAACATATGTGATAGAGAGAGAGAGTCCAGCTTTGTAGAAAGAATATATGAGACAACTCGAGATTTGGGAGTTAATGAGACAGTTGGAGCTCTGGATGGATACACGCACTATGCTTGCTGGTTGAAGAATTTAGTGAAGGAAAAATTGTTACACAGTCGGATTATATGTTGCTTTTTATGTTGGGAAATCGAAGAACCCTTCCATGATATGTAGATTTTTGAATAAACTTGAAGGGTGGTCTATATGGGGTTGTCAAGTGTAAAGCAACGGAAGCCTACTAAGAGGACAAATTAAGTGCTTGAACTTTTGATAACTAATGGAAAAAGGTATCTACTTTAATAACAATTAACACATAAAGGGATATCACAAACAAGGCTATCTAGATTTGGACTTGGTTATTTGTTGTTTCACCTATATATAATCGCTGGAATAAATATATGTACAATTATGTTCTTTTTTATGGTTTTTATGAAGGTAATGAGTTAATATTTTTTTATTTGCTAGGCGTCATGATATTCTATCACAGCTGTTCTATGTTTTGAGTGTTGACATTTAGTGCATTCGGTTGTGGGCGTTGCAATGAGTAGCTGGTTAGTAGAATTCTGTCCTTGTAATTACCCTGATTAGTAATGATCAAGAATTATTGTATCTAGTGTTTATTTATGACCTTGGCATACTCTTGTTGTAGAAGATCTTATTTGTGGTGTTGATGGTTGAGAACATGTAGCACTTGGTCTTTCTGCCTTGAGTTATCTTGCTGCTTTTTATGATCTTTAAAATCCTTCCCTACAGCTGGTTTAATGCTGAAATACGTTATCCGTCTCCTGTTTTTGATTTGGTGATATGTGACTTTCAGAAGCTCTAAAATTGAGTACCTCAACTTTAAAATTTAGATTTTTGCATATTGTGTACCTGAACATTAAAATTTAGATTTTTCCATTAATCATGGTGGCTGCAGTGTAATGATTTATCTTATAATGATATATTTATTAAGTTGCACCTTATAGATGTTAATAGCTGCATGTTAACTTAGTTGGGTGCATGCACACCAGAACAAACGTCCTTTTGGTGCATGAATATATGCTTCGTGTAACAGCAGATGCATATTTTATGATCCTATCTCTTCAATTGGATTCAGTGTTTCACTAGTTGAGTGAGTCCACTTGAGTTACACCGCTCAGCATGGACTAGTTTGAGATGTTACAGTGCCCGAGTAACTTGGTCAGGGCAGGGACTGAGTTCCGGTGCCGAGCTGAGTTGTCAAGCACTGATTGGAATCATTAATATCTATAGCACCATTTGACTTGTTTTTTTTTTTTTTAAATTCCAGGACAACTGGTGTATATACAGGCGCAGAGGGAGTTTTGGTCTAGCAAGAAGCAGTTGCTGATTTTTTTTTTATGCCCAGTTATCAACTATGGGGAACAATGATACTGGTACAACAACATCTAAGTCTGACAAAGCATCCTCACCAGTGCAGGTGGGCTAATATATTGTTGTGTGGTTTCTGTCTTTTGGTTCTTAAAATCTTGTTTTTGCTTTAATATTCTGGACAATCTACGATCCCAAACCTCTCTTAGGCTGCTGATTTCTCAATCTCTTGAACATGTACTTAGTGGTCCACTTTATTTCTAGTGAATAGTTCCAACCATTTGGAAAACAACAATGAATATTCTGAATCTTCATTATATATGATAGGTGAGATGATTATGACACTAAGTTGACGTTAACAATTGCGTGTTCTGATCAGTAAGATACTGCATTATTCCCATCGATAATTTAGGCTCGAACCAAAAACCTATTAACGAAACCTCCCTTGGAAATTTCACCTGAAAATGGAGGTATCCCTGTTCTGTTAATAGTGAAATCTCCTCTGGTGTATGTCAGTCGATTTTATGGACAACATGTGGTTTTTGCTGCTTGTGGGTCATCTTGCCACTGCTAAGAGTCTGGCTGTTTGGCCATTATGGGATTACTAGCATGCTTTTGTTTCCTTGATTATTATTATTTTTAGATCTTAGCTTGATTATCAATAAATTTTTCACTTTGGAGAGTTCAACATGAATCCACTTCCTCGTTGTATCAAGAAAACATGTTCCTAGTAAACGTTGCTGATTTCTGAGCAATATACTCTCTCTCTCTCTCTCTCTCTCTCTCTCTCTCTCTACTACTACTACTACTCTAC